AGCACGCTGAACAAGACGCCTCTGTGGTTTTCGTAAAAATGGAAAAGCAGGAAAATCGTNCGAGACCATCGACAACGGCACCAGCCCGTGCGAACTTTCATTACCCCCCTCCCACCACTCCTTCACCATTATGACAGTAGTGGATGGTAAGAATCTTTTCATAGTATATTGGTCTCTCACGGGAAGATGTTTTAAAATAGACTAGATAATTAAACGGGAAAATGTAACCGGAATGAAAAAAAAAAACGCGAACATGACAGAATGTTCTACAAAGTTAATAAACTTTCAAGAAATTTGTCGAATTTTTTATAATATCTTGGAATTTTCCAATAAATTCTTGGTGTTCCAAAATTTGGTCAAAAATTTTGGAATGCTTCAAAATATTTTCCAAACTCTTGCGAAATTTCCTCAATTCGATAGTTTTATGTAAACATTCATTCGTACATATAAAACTGAAGTGTCTGCAAGAAACGTGGAAATACATGTGACTTTTTTATGGTCAACTGCTTATATGCTGCATAGACCCTTAAAAAAATTATCTCTGTATGAGCTAATCCTCGTCTACCTTTTAATTGTTTATTGGTTTATAACAATCATATTTATTATAAACAGTTAGAAGTCATTTAACTTGAACGAAGTCGCGAGTTAAAAATTATATGCCACCAGTAAATAATATGGCAGTAAAAAAACTCCCTGACCATTAATTCAAATTTAAACATTTACTAATACAAAAATTCTTTTACTCTTAATTTCCTAACGTTTCAAATAAAATTTTGTCATTTTTGTCAGTAAGCGAGATCGCTATTCGTATATTTCTTTGTATTATTTCTAAAACAATAAAAACGAATTTGTTGTAAGGTAGGAGAATAATAAGTAAAGAGAATGGGTTGTTTTTCTATTTGCGTGCTTCCAAAAGTATATACCACACAGCTGCCTACGTATATTCCAAACTCGTAACTCTGAATCCCAGAGAGGCCCACAGAATTCGCAATTAATTAATTGAATAAAAGAAAAGTTTTAGTTAGTTCCTTTTTACCACAAAATTCCACGTTGTTTTCAGTTTACTGTATTATACGTATACCCTTCCTAATTAATTTGATATGTGAATGTAGCAGCTTTTTTCATTCTTATTTGGCATCTAAAAATGGTTATAGAGAAATCCATTAAAAAAAATGTGTTGTTATCAAATTAATTAACTTGCAGATAAAATGAAGCATAAACAATAACAACAAGGGTTTTACTATTTAATTAATAAGTAACGATCAGGGGCGTACCGAGCTTTATGGGCTCGCGGGAAGGAAGGATGAGTTTTGTTGAATATAGCAACTGGGACATTCGATATCAAAGTTTGGTTGAGGGTCACACCCCCCATATCCCTTGGTACGCCTCTGGTAATGATCACTTTTTCTTAAGTCGTCCTAGCAAGCTAAAACGGTATTATAATCAGGAAAGCTTTAAATCTAGTCAAGTATCCATTAGTAAAAGTTGGAATTAGCAATTAAGAAACTGAGCCTTGGTTAAATAAATAAAAAATATATATTTAAGGTTATAAGGCAGTTATAGAGCTGGGGATGCAACGTAGAGAAGTAAATATTAGGAAGGGACTCAGGCAGGGATGCACACTGTCACCGCTACTTTTTAATCTATACATCGAAGACGCCATCAACATCATTAAAGACAGTACAACTGTAGGGATAGATGTGCAAGGGCAAAAGATTAGTATGCTTAGATTTGCAGATGATATAGCAGTATTAGCATCTAGCAAGGAGGACCTAGAGATAGCTTTAAATAAAATGGAAGCGGTACTGACAGATCAGTACTGTATGAAAATAAATAAAAGTAAAACTAAAATACTGATATGCAAGGGAAGAAAAAGTAGGGAAAGAGCGAATATAAAGATAGGAGACGAAAAATTAGAAGAAGTGGCTGATTTTAGATACCTAGGAAGTCAGATAAGTGAGGATGGAAGGAGTAGTAGGGATATAAAGCAGAGGATAGCGCAGGGTCGTGTCGCCTTTAATAAAAAGAAGTCACTTCTATGCTCGCGAACGGTTAATTTAGAAATTCGAAAAAGGTTGTTAAAGGTGTATGTTTGGAGCACGGCGTTGTACGGGTGCGAAACATGGACAGTGGGAGCGGCGGAAAAGAAAAGGTTAGAAGCGTTCGAAATGTGGTGTTATAGGCGGATGATGAGGATATCGTGGGTAGAAAAGGTTAGAAATGAAGAGGTATTGGAAAGAATAGGAGAACAGAGGACTCTATGGAAGTCAATAAAAAATAGGCGAGATAGGTTGGTAGGACACCTTCTCAGGCATGAAGGTCTAGTCAGAGACATATTAGAGGCAGAAACAGGAGTTAGGAGGGGTAGAGGTAGGCCTAGATTAGATTACTCCTCGCAAATAGTTAAGGATGTGGGCTGTTCTAGTTTTAGGGAAATGCGAAGTTTGGCTCAGGATAGGAAAGAGTGGAGGTACGTGTCCAACCAGTCTTAGGACTGATGACATGATGATGATGATGATGATGATGATGATATTTAATGTACTTCGAAGTTTTTTACTTTAAAATTTAAATACTATGCAGTTTAATGCTATTATTGAAATGCTGACGGACAGTTGTATAATTGTGATAGATGAAGTTATCTTTCCCAAAGCCCTTAAAAGATGTAACATCCTGTAGCGCAACTACGATAAATTCCTTTTACTCAAACTTACGCATTAGACGAACAAGTGTGCAACATAAGTCGATGTATAAGAAAATTTTTCGTGCGCTTATAGAGACGATTTCGTTCGCGAGAGAGAGTGTTTGGCAACAAGCTTTTAGGATTTCCTCTTTTTTTTTGTGCTCTCTTCACGACGTCGAGTGGCTGGCCTTAGTGAACTCTAAAAAGGTACGAACCAGTAGGACTCTCAGCAGTGACGCACGTCAAGAGCCAGCAGAAGCGAGGCATTGCAGCAGCTACCACCAAGCAACCAGCAGCAGAGCTTTCGTCCTCTGCGCGCTCCTTCCTGCTCTAAATGCCGCGGAGGAAAGCAGGTGGTAGTGGCTGGTATCGATCTAAGCAACTGCCCTCAGAGGGTTCGAGAATGAACCCTTAGATTTTCCTCTTTTTCATTTTTTATTCGCGACGTGTACTTATTATGTTGTATGAACGTACACCGGCGCTCATCTTGGGCCTTCTTGTTAATGTTGTATTCGCGGACACGACACTGTTTGAGTTATTAGGGGGCCAAGGGTTAGTGAATTCTTAAACCGTTCCGACACGAACAGGGGCGGATCTACATTGTCTTTATTAAAGTCAGATGCTATAATGCGTTATCGTGCACCAACTTCCCCCGGATGTATAAAGTATCTAGGTAAACTCACACCCTTTTGTTCCACAATACAAGTTAATCTTCTGCTTGTATTATTTATGACACGGGCTTCGAGAACGGCTCCAACAGTTTCAATGAAATTCACGGTATACACTTTTTCTACGTAGAAAAATCGATCTAACGCAACTTTATCCCTTGTAAATTCCTTTTCTGTATCGCTTATCACATATAAGAATAATGTGTTTGTCGAAAATGCCTCTTTTTGGCTAAAGATTATAGAAAAATGGCTTAAAATACCAAATCAGAGATCAAATTAAATGTTAAGATCTGAGATTCATTAAATTTCGGTTTTCTTTATTAGGCGATTTAAAAGATATTTGCAAATTAAAACAGTAACAAACTGTTTTTGCCTTATTTAATCGGGTATGGTTAATAATGGCATGCTGTAACCATAATTGGTGCATAAACGTACTGTAGAAAAATAAGCGTCGATTAAAGTGTCTTTTCTGATGTACTGCTGTACCAAATTTTTTAATTAATAAACTCTTCATGGTTTAAAGAAGTTTAATTCATTGGTAAAAAACGTAATATTTATAAATAAGTACAAAATAAAACTATCATTAAGCTAAATAACCAGAATATAACGAAGAAATATATACAATGAAAATACTAAATAGAAAAATGTACAAGGACTTGATTGGGTTGAAAATGTTAGCGAATGACTTGTGCTGACTGACTTGTATTGACTAAATTAAGTGTTTTTATAAATGTGGAAGTAAATAGCTGTAAAATGGATACTTTATCTACTGATGAATATATAATGTATTTGTAACATAATAGATATAGAGAAAGAGAGGACTAAAACTACCTAACTACCTCAAATTGGGAAAGCCAGGTGAGAGTTGCGAATTGAGTTGTAAAAAGGTCCAAACAGTTAAACATGACTATGAATAAATTAGAACTAAAAAGGTCAAATTTGCAAAACTAAATTAAAACTAATGTTGTTATCCTAAACTTCTTTGATTAAATCGATCACGTACATTATCTACAGGATACTATCATCCAATTTTGGACTTGTTCAACTAGTTATTAATGAAATTGTCGAATTAACACAACATAATTTTGATACTTTCTTCTCTATTTTTTAAAGATAAAGATAAATATTAAATTTCGAAAGTAGGGAGAGATTTTTTCACTAACCACTCATGTTCGCTTAGTTAAACGTGTGTGGTGTAGTGATAATTTTTTTAAATGTTAATATTTGGCCAATCAGTCATCTAATCGGCAGTTTTTCTTCCGTTTTAAATTAACAAATATTGTGATTTCGACATGACCCACGGAGCACACAAAGAGAGCACACAATATCTAAAATTTGTATAAAATTTAAAATCGTGACTCCACAAGCATGCAATTTTCAAATAAATATGACAGAGAAAAGCGTTAAGAAAATAAATAAATAACCTTTTTTTACAAAACCATGTCGAAAATACAAAAAGAAGGAAGAGGCAGTAAAATTTAAAAATTAATTTCTTAATTAATGTGAAAATTCATTTTCGATTTTCTATCCACTACAAACTACCTCAGGTAGTTTGAAAATGAATTTTCACATTAATATATTTGATATTAACCACTATTAGTAATTAAAAATGTCATAATTAATTTCTTTTTGACATTTTTCAATATTTTTGATGTTTTATTTATAATGCAACAACAAAATTTGGATAAAGTTCTATTAATGTGTTAATCCTGTATTAATATAGTTATAAATGAATAATTTTGTGACAGCAGAGGTAAATAATGCTCGAATGATTTGGTAAATGGGATTGACAAATGAATTCCTTGTAGAATTACATACAATTTCCAAACTGTCTGCAAACTTAGAAAAGGGTACACCGGTCACAACAAAGTTTGTATAGTTATAGAAGTACATAAGTTTGAGAGAAATTCTGTAACTTAATTAACTGCTAGTGTATGAACTGTTCATTTAGACGTCTAAAGTTCAAGCAAACCTAAATGTTTGTATACAAAGACCAGTGCTTAGTATATTATTATATTGTTTGAAATGAATACAAGAGGTAAAGTATAAAGTTAAAATAAAAAATAGTTTTCGTTTTTGTACATTGCGTCAAATGAATAGTTTTTTAAAAATTGGCTTTCGCAATCAGTTTTGCTTTGTTTTAAAACAATGAATCTATAAAAATTACGGAATCCTTTATGGAATATCTTTATTATACGTCAGTCCAAGAACCTTTTTTAGGAAACGGTGGACGTAAAAAATTGAAATTAATGCCCAAGCTTCTTATTAAGTGCAATAAAAGTTGGGACCATTGTATATTTCCCGTTAAACTAGGATCTTAAAAGATACGAAGGAAGTTTTCACATCACGAGGAATGGAAAAAATCCGAAGATTATTACTTCTTAAATCTATTGTAATATTGGAATTACTACGTTTTTTTATATATATATA